TATGCTGATGATATTACTACTATATATCAATTAACAAACAGTATTTAATCATGTTAAATATCGAGTATACATTGATCATAATTTAAAAAGTCTCATTGATGCCTCTGATTATATAGTATTAAAATCTTGATGAATAATAGAGCTAATTGAAAATAATACGAATTGGTTTTTCGACACGACACGATATAATCGATATACATAATATGTAATTACATATACGTGGTATAGACAGTAAAATTGTATTATAATTATAATAATTGATTTTTAAACATATTATTTGATATAAATTTAACGTATAAGACGGGCAACAAGAGCCAAATCGCGGATGACAATGCGTTATCCTAACGAAACTAAATAATTTTTCGTTAGAATTAAATACCGGTGCACAAGACACCAAATTTTTACTTGGACACGGCCAAGATTTTAAATATGAAATAATCTCATATTTTGAGATTTAATTTCAATACCCCTTTTAACCCCCCTACGGAAAATAAATAAATTATTGCAAGAGAAAAATATAGATCCGAAAATCGCTGAATCGGGAATCGAACCCGAGACCTTTCGCTTGCCGGGCGACTGCTCTTCCAGCTGAGCTATTCAGATCTTTTTTAATATTTACTAATTTTAATATTATTTGATAATTGTTCACTTATCAAACATTATATTAGACATAAAATTTTCTTCTAATTATAATATTATTTTTATCTACAACTTGTATATTGTTACATGGCATATATTGTTGCGCCCCCGTGTTACGCCCCTGGATCTACATCTTTGTATCGGGTGATACTTTTCGCGGGATCAACTCTTTACGCTTCCGGGAGATCGTCGTCAAGGGAGTTGTTGTTAAACAACTAAGGGTCTTCTTCTGTTTTCGGGAGACATGACAGTTTTGGTCTAGCGGTCGCATCGTGCGGACGTTTTCCGAGACCGGAGCTTCTTTGCATTACGAATGCACTATTTGTTATATTTCATTGGTTTCGTGTATTGGTTCCTCATATTAAAGTTCATTTCCCTATCATGCGAGTGTCTTTATTTCGCGCGCGAGTGAGAGTGACTGTGTGTGAGTGACTGAGCGAGAGGCGTCCCGAGGACGCAACATTTTGGGGGCTCGTCCGGGATCAAAACCGAAAGAATCGCATCTTCCTGAGAGAACGCCAAAATGACGACTCAACATTCGCCGAAAGCGACGCGTTCCCGAACAACGATGAAGGAGATAGACGAGACGGATGCGTTGCAGACCGCACTGCGAGAACTACGAGAAATGCGGGCCGAACGAGAACATCAGCAAGCTCGCTTTGAGACTCTTCTCCGAGAGAAGGACGAACAGCTGCACCAGCTCGAATTGAGGATCTCCTCGCAGCAAACTAACCAGCTAAGTCCTTCTAATATAAGAGCTTCTGGGGATACACGACTGAATTTAGCTTGCGCGAGTACCGCGAGTGCCGCGATAGCCGCGAGTGCCGTGATAAACGCGGGTGAGACGACCGGTGACTTTCGTGCGAAAACGGGCTTAAAACTGAAGCCCGATACATTCGATGGAAGGGTTCCGCTGCGGGAGTTCCTCTCCCAATTTCTTTTGATAGCCGTTGCGAATAATTGGGATGAGAAAGCAAAAATGATTACTCTCGCTGCAAATTTAAGGGGAAAAGCTCGGTCCGTTTTAGAAAATGTCGAGAATTTTGAAGAATTAACATTCGCGGAATTAAAATCAAAATTAGAGTTGCTTTTTGAAGACGGAAACTTGACGCAAAATTATTACTATCTTTTTACGACACGGAAACAAAAATATGGAGAGGATTTCGCTTCCTTTGGAGCCGAACTTGAGAGACTGTCGCGTCTGGCTTACCCCGAATGTCCATATGCGGTCCGCGATAAAATAGCATGCGCGCAATTTGTCTCGGCATTAATAGACGGGTTTGTCAAAAGAACCCTTCAACTGGAGGGAATTACATCCTTAAATTTGGCTATAGAAAGAGCTAAGGCCATAAAAATAATTCAGGGGGATAGTTTTGATAGAAAAAGAGACAATTTTAGTAATAAAGGAAATTACGGCAAAATAAGTCAAAATTATCAAAAAGGAGAGAGGAGCGACGCGCGAACCGATTCCGAAAAAAAGAAAAGCGAACGGTTTGACTCGAAAGGGGAAGCGCAAGCGAACAACTTTTCGGCCAAAGAGAAAGAATGTTGGTCTTGCGGGAAGATTGGGCATTTGCGTTTTCAATGTCCTGAGGCGAAGGAAAACTAGAGGTAGTTGAATTTTTCGGGGAAAATTCAATTCTTACAGAAAACGCCCCGACGTCCAATTTTGTTGATCTCATTGATTGTAGTGTTAGAAGGACCTTTCTCTATTGTAAAGAAATTCAACGATGTGGTGTACTGCATTCAGAAGACACCCAGACATCGGAAGAAAGTAGTGCATGCAGATAGATTAGCTCCATTTTTAGATAGAAATATTGATTGTTAATTAGAAATAGTACAAAACTCAAATAAAGATTGCTAGAAATTGGAGAGTTGTGTTTGTGTGTATATTTGTAAGTGCATTTTTTTAATTGGTGAATTTATTCTGCGTAAGGAATGTTTTCTTTTCTAGTTGGAAATTTTTAAGAAGAGGCTTGCCTGAGTTTTTGTTACAAGAGAATTCTCTGAGGAAGTTCCTGCGACCATTACTCATCGAGGGCAACTGGCTCCTTTCAATTGAGAAGACCGTCTCATCTTCAGAAGATTGGTCATTTGGTTCATCACGTTGAAGACTGTCCCTCTCGTGGTTTTTGATCCGTGGTTTTCCCACGAGACTGAGGGCAAATGCCGGGACAGAGACTTAGGGTGTTCACGAGGAACGTTGGGTCCACGGAAGATATTCCCCCCTTTGTCTGAAGATTCATGGACCATTTCGTTATCCTTCCGGGAGACGGCGAGTATAGTGAAACCGCGAAGACAGCAGGGATATCTTCTATCAACTCGACTGTTATAGGAAAAATCTGGCCAATTTTTCTTCAAAAAAACAGTTCGAGTACGGAGAGGAGGAGGGCGAAGCTCGGTAACCTGTAGCAGCAGCTAAGGGAGAGCAGGATTCGTCCGGACAGTGTAGACGCAAAAAGAGAGGGACCAGGCGTTTCGTTCGGTAACCTGTAGCAGCAGCTAAGGGAGAGCGGAGTATCGTTGGTGCCCTAATAGCAGCGTCAGAGTCCTGGGTCTTCAATCTCCGTGAGAATTGTCGGGACGACAATTTTGAAGAAGGGGGGCAGTGTTGCGCCCCCGTGTTACGCCCCTGGATCTACATCTTTGTATCGGGTGATACTTTTCGCGGGATCAACTCTTTACGCTTCCGGGAGATCGTCGTCAAGGGAGTTGTTGTTAAACAACTAAGGGTCTTCTTCTGTTTTCGGGAGACATGACAGTTTTGGTCTAGCGGTCGCATCGTGCGGACGTTTTCCGAGACCGGAGCTTCTTTGCATTACGAATGCACTATTTGTTATATTTCATTGGTTTCGTGTATTGGTTCCTCATATTAAAGTTCATTTCCCTATTATGCGAGTGTCTTTATTTCGCGCGCGAGTGAGAGTGACTGTGTGTGAGTGACTGAGCGAGAGGCGTCCCGAGGACGCAACAATATAATATAATATAACCTATATAATATATATAATATAAATCTATTCTTAATTATACAAAAGTATAATTTTCTGAATATCTCATATGTATATACACACATAATAAAACAAACATGTTTAAAGTAAATATTAAATTTTTGTTTCTCTGTTTTCAATTCTTGTGATATGCATTTATTATAATATAATATTAATAAAAATTGATATTAATAAAATTAATATGATATTAATAAAATTTGTTGAAAAATTGATAATTTTATAAAGTTTAAATTTGCACTTTTTTTACATAAAGTAGTTTTTGAAAAGTTAGATAAATGTATATGTATATGTGTATGTATGTACTCACTCTCCTACATTTATTTCATAAAATTTAAAAAATTTTTTTGGAAAATTCAAAATTTTATAATTTACCGATCCAAATGGTGTTAAATTCAACACCAAATATCTTTAATTATACTTTATTCATGTAAAAATAGTTGTTCAATATTCCAAAATTTGTGATAAATAAAAATGCATACTTCTTAAAAAAATTTATGAAAAATGAAGTATTTTCACGGATCATTGCTAAACTCAATATTAATCTTTCTTAAATAATAGTCTATTCACATGTAAACAAATTTATCCCCATATCTTAAAATTTATAAAAGTTAGAGCAACAAGTCATTTTTTAAAAAATTCAAAATTTTATAAAAAATAAACCCTTTCATCGAACCTCGTCAAATTTAATACAAACTATTTTTTGATGATAATCTATTTATATAAAAAAATTATCAAGATTTTAAAATTTACGTAAGTTAGAGCAACCACTGACATTTCTAAAAAAAATAAAAATTTTGTAAAAAATGAAATACTTTATGAATTTTTCTAAAAATTACAGTAAATAAAAGTGTAATTTTATTTTACTTGTATGCCAAATTGAAGTGCTGCCCTTATAAAAATTTATCACTAGTAACGCTAATTTATCACTTATTTCGAGTACTTAATCACTTATTTTGAGTGCTTAAATTACTGTATATCAGTATTTTAAATACTCGAAATAAATGATTAATTGGCGTTACTAGTGATAAATTTCTACAAGGGTGGAGGTCAAATAATTTTTAAAATATTTAAATCTAAACACAAATGTGGGTGTGCATATATGGTATACATACATACGTACACACAAAGTTTTTTTTTGCAACTTACGTGATCTGAACAAATAAAATATTGCCGATAAATAATCGCATGATTCTATAAATAATTCTTAGAACTCTTGGAAATAAAGGTGTTATATTTTAATATTACATATCTTAGATTATTCATATTTTCCATATTCACATTTTCAATTTTACTTACTCATAATTAATACAATAATGTTTTATATTTAATCAATTACATCAATGTTACATATTTTCATTATATTAATTACGCATTAATGTTATATATTTATTGATTTTATCATATCAATTACATCAATGTTATGTATTTATTGATAGTTACGAATAAACTATTACTGTGCAAATTGATCAAGATAAGACAAGTTATAAAATGTTAACTTTCTACAGATAAAGATCGCTTTGAATAATGAGGAAAGTCTACGGCATAAGGTGATTTTTCATTCTCACTGACCCAGGCCGCTCCGTTTTCACCTTTTTGGATGAGAGCTAGCATCGCGCGACCCACGTAATCGACTGATTGAACCGAGCCAAGTAGAGCGTCAAACTTACTGGAGTATTTTGCATCGACTAAGGGGAGAAATCTTTTTTTTAAGTCGACAATTATTGCCGTCTTCGTAGTACCTGGACACATTATAAGAACTCGCACCCCAGTCTTGTCGTATAGACCTGCCAAAGATTGGCTGAATCCAAGAACGGCGTGTTTCGAAGCCACATATACCGGTGCTGGAGGATAAGCGATTAATCCAGCTATAGATGAGACGTTCACGATTAAACCTCCCTTGCCGCCTTTGTGTCTTCCCATGTGGTCCAGGGCCAGATACAAGTTGCGAATTAGCGCCGTAACATTGATATCGATCACCTGATGCCAATTGTGCTCATTCAAAATGCCAGCATTATTGATTAGAATATCAAGAGTCTCGAACGCATCAATGACTCTATTGAATGCCTTTTCTAGATCTTCTGCCTTTGCCACGTCACATGCAATGAAGACAGCACGGCTCTTTCCAAATTCCTTCTTCAACGTAGTCGCTGCATTTTCGCCATTCGATGTCGGCAAATCGATTATCGCAACACTTTTGGCACCATTCTGAAGTAATATTTCTGCGAATTTGTAGCCTAATCCGGCAGCTCCTCCGGTAATCATTACTGTTTTATTCCGTACGTTATCCATCTTGCTTGCAGAAAATCGTAATGCGTACTGCAAAGTTACTTATAGTAGTATGAAGTGTTGAATAAATGACGTAATGAGTTTCATAAAAATATATGCTTATCGCGCTGACTCGTCGTTCTCGATTCGTTAATTAACATTAGTAGGGATAAAGGAGTATTCGCTGCAAGTATTTTGAAATTATCTTTCGTATCATCGCTTATCAGTTATGTAAAATTTTATGACGTTATTTACATTTAAAAATTTATTTTGTGATAACTTTCCGAGAGACAATAGTCCATATATAAGCATATATAAATATATATAAGACAATATATGTAAATATATATGATTATCAAATTAAATACTTAAAACGTCGCTAGTGGTATTTGAAATAGGAACGATATATTTAATTCGACCCAAACTAGCCAAGAAAATTTTTTATTTTATTTCTACAATAAGTAGTGGAAATAAAATAAAAAATTTTCTTGGCTAGAGTTTGGGTCGAATTAAATATATCGTTCCTATATATATGATTATATATATAAATATATAATTAATCAAATTATTAAAACATAAATTGATAATAGGCCAACTGAACGAGCAAAAATAAATTATAAGGTCTTATATTACAACATATCAACATTAAAAAACCGCGAACGTTTCGACTGTACTACAGTCTTCATCAGTACAAAGATAATAACGAATGATCACATTATAAAATCATAAATTTAATATACAAAATAAGTAACATACTCGAACGGTATCAGCAATAGATGGCATTTTATAGAACCACACACGCAAATTCCGAAAAGTAATTTTATTAATGCTGTAAAATTTGTATTGACATCCACTTTTTTGTATTTAATAACACAATTTATAAACAAATGTTTGGAGCTCCTATGGGCTCACCTCTGTCCCCAATTATTGCTAATATAGTGATGCAAGATTTAGAGGCATCAATAATTAATAAATTGGATTTTGATTTAACATTTTACTTTCGTTATGTTGACGATATACAATAATTATGTGTACCTCGGCAGACAATATATCAAATGTTGTAGAAAAATTTAATAGTCATCATGACAGATTAAAGTTTACAATCGAACGAGAGGTTAACCGTTGTATTAGTTTTTTAGACGTTTCCATAAAAGTAATTGATAATACGATTCATTTTGATTGGTTTCATAAAAACACGTTTTCGGGTAGACTGCTCTCTTTTTTCTCGAATCATCCTATTTGTCACAAAATAGGGACAATATATAATTTATTAGACAGAGCTATATTATTATCACATCCTAGATTTTACAAGAAGAATTTAGAAATAGCCATAAATATATTATTATCTAACGGTTATTCTCTTGATCTAATTTTTTTGGAAACGAAACAAAGATTGAAACATCTTTTAGCTAATAAGTTAATCAAAACAGACACAAATGTTTTTACTAATGTTCGTAATAATAAAAATGAAAACATCAAATATTTTGTTATTCCTTATATAAAAACAATTTCAGAGTTAATCGCGTCAACAATAAAAAAGCCTGACATAAAAGTAGGTTATCGATGTATTAGGAAATTGAATAATATTATAAGGGTTCAGAAGAATAGGGACGATCGTTCAAAAATTTCTAATGTAGTTTATAAAATCAATTGTCATGACTGCAATGTTTCATACGTTGGACAGACAAAAAGACAATTAGGATCTAGACTGAAAGAACACAGAAATAATATTAGATTGGATTCTGAGATACACTCGGTTGTCTCAGAACATATCCTAAATAATGGACACACATTTGATTGGGATAATGTAAAAATTTTAGATCTTGAGAAGAATTATCTGAAATGATACATATAAAAGAGCAGCAACATGGCATTAATTCTAATAAGGACACCGAGTTGCTTGACGAAAGCTATTTGATATACTTGGAAGACTGGCTGAGTCATAGTTCATAAAAACATTGCTAAAGAATTATATAAATAAAAATTTCTAACGTATCGAGGCACCAGTCTTGTTTCTGACTTTTAAGCATACTCATGACATCTTATACGGACGATCGTTTTATTCCTTTGACAATTTGTAAGTTGAATTTATATCTTTTTAATCGGTTCAGTTCTTATTTTATTAAGATCATTAATATCCAAAAATTTTTCTTAGCATAATCGTTATTCATTGAGTTTGTCGTCAAAATTTGGAAACATAGAAATTTTATCAAAAAATTGTTGGTGTGATGAGCGATTTACTGACATGTTTCCCGCCTACAAACGACGAATATGTTTTTGTGAATCTTTTGACCGCGTTATTCTTATTGTATATTGACCAATTAATTAATTTTTCGTTTCGTAAGTTTTGTAATATTTAATTGTATCTATAATTTATTTACACATTAAATGGGTTTATATTCGCGTTTTGACATCTGATATAATTGTAAACATGTTTGATTGCTGTCCGTTTTTTATATTATCCAATCGAGTATGTTACTTATTTTATATATTAAATTTATGATTTTATAATGTGATTATTCGTTATTATCTTTGTACTGATGAAGACTGTAGTACAGTCAAAACGTTTGCGGTTTTTTAATGTTGATATGTTGTAATTAATAAATAAAATCTTATAATTTATTTTGCTCGTTTAGTTGGCTTATTATCATTTATGTTTTAATAATTTGTTTAATGTACACGAGCTTTTTATTTATTTTTTATTTTTATTTTGAATTTTAAATTGGTATATAATGAATATTTGTATAAATATATAATAATATATAATTTAAAAAAAGTGGAAGAATTGGAATTTTTTTTAAATTTTTAAAAAATTGGAAGGACAAAAAGATAAATTCTAGTGCAACTAGTTCAACTATAAAAAACAGACCATGCAATTACATTATTAATATATGACTCAGACAACACAGAATATTTATAAAATATTTATAGAATATTTATAATAATTATTTTAATATTTTATAAATATTTATCATAATATTTTTTATAAATGTTTTTGGAGTCTTAGATTCAATAGATCATAAATATTTATCATAAATATCAGAAAATATTTATGATAAACATTATGGTAAATATTAGAATTTTGATGGCAAATGATCCATTTTGACATCAAAATGATGTCATAATAATTACTGTGGCTATCTGGGTACTTTTTATACCTATACCAGAAATTACAATAAATTAATGAGAGAATGACATTATTTTTAATATATAAACAAACAAATGGCCATGCTCACGATTTTCTTTTAGACGCTACATATTGTTACAATATACATTATATAACTTTACATTATCTATACATATGTATTCCAAATTTGAATCGTTCATTTTGCACGGTCGAAAATTTAATTTGCCAAATATGTATTCGTTGAGTGCATCATAATCTGAATTTCTTCCGCTTTGTTCCAGTGATTATCATATATATTATTGTTTTTCCAATAAAAAAAATGTCAGCGGACGTCGAAAATATCGAATGATCTGGATGTTTTTCTTACAGATAATTTCGTACCTCTATTGCGATATTATCCAAAGATTCTAGTACGTACACGTAAGATACATCCTTTAGGATTTGAATATTTTGTGCCACATTAATGGCAGGACGTTCCATAATCTGTCTTCCGACATATGACATATGAAATTTGAGCAACCCTTTTTTAAATCATATTTCCTCATAAAGTGAAATAGTTTCTCGTAATAATATCTTTCGGTTAAATCGCAGTCAGTTCTTCTGAAAAATTTACATATTAAAACTGTGCAAAAACATAATCTATAAATATAAATTTAACATATATAAGATAGGCAATAAGAGCCAAATCGCGGATGACAGTGCGTTATTCTAAACGAAACTAAAATTTTTTTTCGTTGGAAGAGCAGTCGCCCGGCAAGCGAAAGGTCTCGGGTTCGTTTCCCGATTCTGCGACTTTCGGATCTATATTTTTCTCTCGCACTTTATTTCTTTAGGGGGAATAGGGGATACATGGAATTAAAAATCTCTTGTAGAGATTATTCCAATTTTATATCTTGGCCGTGTCCAAGTAAAAATTTGGTGCCTTGTGCACAGGTATTTAATTCTAACGAAAAAAAATTTTAGTTTCGTTTAGAATAACGCACTGTCATCCGCGATTTGGCTCTTATTGCCTATCTTATATATGTTAAATTTATATTTATATATTACAGAGCCTAGTTAAACTCTTAATAATCTATAAAGTTGTTAGCATTATAATATATTGAGAATCCTACCGTGGAGAATGTGTAAGCAAATTTTAAGCTCATTGTTAAAAAAAGAAAATGTGGAAAATATTAAACCATAATAAATTTTCTGAGTAATAATATCTATTTCTAAGTGATTATCTAAATGAAATATATGTAGGAATTTCGTACAATTATCGATAGATTCAGTCTGACAATGCATATATCTCATTTTAGACACGTATTTCTAAATTGTCTCGTATATTTGATAACCCATTTTTTAAAGTTTATGTTTTTCTCAAAAATTCTCTTCGTATTTTTCATAATTTTCGGACAATATGTCACAATATTTTTTTAAAGAAGGCCATTTGAAATTGAAACAAAAAATGATTTAATAAAGCTTTCTAATTATTATATATTAAAAGTATACTGTTGCATCACTAATCAAAATTCAGAGCAATACGTTTTTAAATAACTATAAATTTTTATTTGCTTTATACATATTATATATTTTATTTGCTAAATACATATTATATGTATTTAGTATACTTCACAAATTAATCAGTAAATTTATATAATTTTATAATATTACAATTATTTTATTTCTATTTTATCATATTATACATTTGAAATATTATATTTCTCTCGAATTTCTAATTATATTATATTATATATTTATTTGTTATATTATGAAAATGGGTAGAAAAGCACCGTTTACATGTGGTTTCAATAAAAATTTTTCAATTACAGAAAGAAATTATTTCATTATTTAATGTATTTATAAAAATTACTATTATGTGTAAGAATGTAAAATGGACAAAGGAAGGGTTTATTGTTAAAAATGTTTTTTTAATAGATTCACCTAATATCCATTGTTTATTAGTCTTTTTAACTGTTTGTTTTAATAATGTATTTGATTTTGTTATTAAATTTTAAATATAGAAATATATATATAATATATATATATATTATATATCTATATATATATATATATATATATATATAAAATTTATTAAATATCCCGAAAAGTATCACACTTTATTATTTGATTCCATATGTTAATCATTACGGATTGGAAATGAAAGAAAAGTAAATAGGTTATATGACGATTTTTGAACGATTTTTGTATATAGTCCAAAATTATAAAAAATCCATAATTTAATTATAGAAAATCGGTATATTTCTACAAAAAATACCATATAGACACCATATAAATACCATATAGACGCGCGCTATTGTCCAATTTTCTGTAAATGTATTTAATTTTGTTTTGAAACAATAACTGTTAAGCAAATGTAACTCACAATGCAAATCGGGATCTTGCGGGAAAAGGTACCAATATTTATGAGAATTGACTTGATTTGCTCTTTTTAAAAAATAATTATTTAGTATATACTATTTTATTCTATTTTATTAGAATATATTTTTATATTTGTGATTTTTAAAATAAAATTTTCAAATATACATATATATACAAAACTGCGATGATGCAATGTTTGATCTATTCATGCAAAATGTGGAAACAACAAAGAATTACCTTTAAAAAAATTTCTTTTCCATATACTGTAGATAGTCGGCTGCATAATGAAACTGTTTGCAGACGCATCGGAAATTAATGATATCCTCGATGGTGATATCCTTGTAGCCGAGAATGATGGATATCAATTCGTCTGGTAAGGATGTTATCGATGCCATCATAACAAAAATTCGAAAAAGAGCACTATAGAAATTATTGTATATATATTGAAGTTATTGCAACAAATTATTCGTGTATAATTATTAAATTCGTATAACACGTGTTCAATGTGAACGCTATACGGACGTTGTTCACGCTCTGTCCACTTTTCTTCTGAAATTTATACCTGTAATCCTCTCCGTTGTGCAGTATGTTACGTGATGTACCATACGTATAAAAGAGAATAAAATAATATATATTGTTGGAAATTCTATTGTTCTATTTTCACTCTACAGTAAACTTTTAAAACAGAGGAATAAGACATAATATTTAGTTCGCGAGTTTGCATAGCCAATGGTAAAAAAAAGAAAAGAATATTACAAATACCAGTGTATATACAGAATAACAACCCAGATAGCCACAGTAATTATTATGACATCATTTTAATGTCAAAATGCATCATTTGCCATCAAAATGATGCATTTTGATGTCATTATGCATTGATTGTCATTATGATGTCATTATGATTAAGTAAGCATTGTGAATAAATATGAAAATTAATTAATCGGGCAGTAATTTTGATATTTGAATTGCATTATGTTAAATTTTCGATATTAACAAAATTTATATTATCAATTACAAGATGTCCCGCAACGTGATATCCACAGTGAAACATTGTATGCTTGGGATAAATATAATTGGGATAATAATAATTAAAAATTAGTTTTTAATTATTATTTATTAGCAATCGGAATTCAAACTTTTGTGACTGGCATTACAAAAAATAATTACATGCGTTGTCATAGTAAAAAAATTAATGACCTAAACCACAGGTCGAAATGTCATGATATTTCTATTTTAATAAAGGGCTTATTGTCCAGTATTGGTCGTCTTTTGAATGTTACATACTTAATTTTGATAAATACATTTTGTTTGAAAAATTAAGGCTCATTGTAGATTGAAAATGGAACAATAGAATTTCCAACAATAAATTTTGTTTCCTTTTTCTGTGTATGGCATATCATAAGACAATGTGTACGACGGAAGGGACTACTTTAGGTTCTCAGCTAGAAATTTGAGAAGAAGAATGGTCAGAGTGTGGACAGGTCCGCAGTAGAGGTGCTCATTTTTCTATAGAATTGATTTTTCAGATCAATTTAGATCGCCAATTTAAGAATCATTGATTCACGACAAAATCAGACCTGAAAAATCGATTCAGATAAGATCGCGATTCAAAATCGGTATGTAAAAAACAGTTTAAAAATTTAAAAGCGCATATTTTTTATACAAGTAATGAAAAATTGACAAAACAAATATAAGAAATAATAAGAATATTTTTAAGTCAGCTCTCCAATTTTTAAACCACCATATTCATCTTGACTAAAGAACCAAACGCGATGTTATTGCGACAGATTAAGATAAGAAAATTTGGAAACTAAGGAATTTGAATCCTATGGTTATCTCAGAAATTCCCCTTGTTCCTTCTCTTAACATTCCCTGTAAAGAAATAGACGAGAAAAATATTGGTCCGAAAGTCGGCTGAATCGGGAATCGATTCCCGTGTATTGTAAGAATAATATTTTCTATGATAAAAATGTTATAAATCATTAATATTATATAATAAAATTAATATAATATAATTAATGAAATTATTTTTAAACATATGACACAACATATAATTATAGATACATTGGCAAATATTCACAAAAAAAGAATTTTTGAAAGTAAAACTTGATAGGTGAGGTAAATATATATTGAAGAACTATATTATTATATCAGTAATTTTTTCGTATTCTTGTAGTTTTTTTTCGTGCGGTTATATTATATATATATATATGTAATTGAAATAAGTCAGTTGATATTATAAATAAATTATTTACCTCTATTTTTGTAGCTGGTCAAAATATTTTGCATATTTGTAAATACATTTAAAAAAACTTTAAAAAAGAAAATAAACTTTGTCCATTTTTAACATAATTATATAAATTTGTATATAAATTATAAGGTTTTATATATATCATCATGTCAAATTTTATATGAAACATTATATGTATATATATGTATACTATTCGGCTTATTGATGTATTTTTATGTAAATAATAAAATTGGAAAATTTTTATTTAATAATTTTTCTTTTGTTAAGCAATCGGAAACAATATTTCAAAATTTTTTGTTTTCATTATTTAATAAAGCTATATATAATTCATGAACACATTTATGTGATATCTGTGATTTATTATTACATATGTTTTATTTTTTAATATAAATACTAAACTAAGAAAGTTATATAGATGTTTAATTATTAAGATTAATAAAGAATAATATTTTTGTGTGTATATTGTGTGTGCGTGTGTGTGCGTGGGTATGCGTGGGTGTGCGTGTGTATGTGTGTGTTATTATTGTAACGGCGCAGCCGTTACTAACGCCTCGCGGGCCGATCAGCCGCCCGCCACGTGAGGCTTTGGCGCCTAAAGGCGCCCCTAATCGTTCCACACGGGCCGCCCCCACCCCGGGGGGCCCCACCGCGATCCCGGCGCGGTACCCCCGCCACGGACTCGACGCGGAGTAGGGGACCGACGGACGGGTATATAAGCCGGCTCGGCGGACGAGCCGGCACCAGTCCCGTTCCAAATCTCCCAGACCAGGCAACGGGCTTCTCGTTGTGAAAGTGCCGGGTTTCTCGGTCGCTGGTTCCTACCGTTAGTATCGGGCAACGGGTTTTCCGGTTTCCGGTCTCCTCCTGTAATACGCCGGGCGACGGGCTTCTCGTCGTTACACTGGGTTTCCCAGTTTCCGGTCCATCCTGCTATCCGCCGGGCGACGGGTTTCTCGTCGTTACACTGGGTTTCCCGGTTTCCGGTTCATCCTGCTAACATCCGGGCGACGGGCTTCTCGTCGTTATACTGGGTTTCCCGGTTTCCGGACATCATTATAAGGCTATATGCCGCCGTACGTTGGCTTCACAGCTCCCCGTTTTGAATAAAGGCGTTACGCCCCGTACCTAGTATCTCCAGCATCGTATACCGGGTAAATTGTAAGTCCCGTCAGGACACCGCTATAGGCTATGCGCCTCCACCTGTTGTATCTCCAGTATCGTATACGGGTAAATTGTAAAGTCCCATCAGGACACCGCTATAGGCTATGCGCCTCCACCTGTTGTATCTCCAGTATCGTATACCGGGTAACTTGTAAGTCCCATCTGGACACCGTTATAGGCTATACGCCTCCGAGCTTGTAAATACACCGGACGCTCCGTTCGATCCTCACGCTTTGTACATATACCGGGTAGCTCTTAAGTTCTTTGTTCAGGCTTTACGCCACCGGACGCTCCGTTCGATCCTCACGCTTTGTACATATACCGGGTAGCTCTTAAGTTCTTTGTTCAGGCTTCACGCCACCGGACGCTCCGTGCGATCACCGTTCACTACGTATACCAGCGATCCGCTAAACCCGTAGGATGACCTGTAGCCTGCTGTTAAACATTCTTTTCGTTGTTCTTTTTATTTGAATAAACCCACTGTTTTTATATTAAGGAATAAGCGAGTCTGAATTTCCCCCTTCCTCCCGAATCTGGAACGGCGAGCCGATCCGCGGCGTCGGGAAAGGTGAACCGTTACATATATATAGATTATATTCTTATTCAATATTTATGGAGTTCAATTGTTATAAATTTTTTTTACATTATATACATATTTTCTAAAGTAACAATTTCTGAAATATAAAGCAGTCTCTTGCTTATTTTAAATAGTTGTTAGTAGTAGAAATATTATAGTAATAATAAGTAGTAGTTACAATAGTACAATAGTAATACTAATAGTTATAAAGTTGCAGTAGTAACAAAACAAAGAAAAATATCTTTTCCCAGAACGATTTGCATGTGCGCGTTCTGGTTATTAAAAAAAGATATTTTATATCAGAGACGATTTATTCGTCTGTTAGTTGCTTTAAAAATATCTTCTCCCAGAACAAATTGCATGTGCGTTCTGGTTATTAAAAAAGATATTTTATATCAGAGACGATTTATTCGTCTGTTAGTTGCTTTAAAAATATCTTCTCTCAGAACGAATTGCATGTGCGTTCTGGTTATTAAAAAAAGATATTTTATATCAGAGACGATTTATTCGTCTGTTAGTTGCTTTTAAAATATCTTCTCCCAGAACGATTTGCATGTGCGTTCTGGAAGATATTTTATGCCAGACTTATTTATTCGTAAACTGCTTCTTTACATCAGATACGGTTTATGTATCCTCTGCTTAGTATAAAAATAAAACATTTATATTGAAACTTTATTGTATAATATAATATAGTTTGAATAAGATATAGATTTATAAACAAGAGACTGCATTTATTTTTCACAAAAATCTTTTGATAATTATATAATAACTGATACATTTAATTTTTTAACAATATTTTAACATTATTTTTTTTGCAGGCGACGGATGCTGAAGAAAGAGAGACAAGAGGAAAATGACTCCAGGTATAGCACATTTAAGGATATTAACAATGAATCCATCGATAATCAGAAATCGGCAGAATTGCTATCTGATACAATGGATTGAAAAGTTAGTATCCAATCGTTAGTACCCGCGATGCAATGCCTGGAGTCAAATTCAAATACAGGTACGGGTAGTAAAAATGTCGAACTTTGCAAAGATAACAATCATTTTGTTATCGAAAATAGCCCTCTGGATATAAATAATATCCAGGAAAGCATGCCTCAAGGGCGTCGCATTGTCGACTCTTCTCATATGTGGAATGAACTTCAGAGTTTATTCAATAATCATATGAAAGAAATAGAGTGCCAATTTAAATTAATTGGAAAGTCTTAAAAACTAAAACCGAAGGCCAAGAGAAAAATGACTCTAGGAATAGCACATATAAGAATACTAGCAATGAATCCATCGATTTTCAAAAATCGGTGGAATTGAATTTCGATACAATAGATTCTAAAGTTAGTACTCAAAAAGTGCAATGCCTAAAGTCAATTTCTGAAACAGATATTTGTAATAAAGATATCGAACTTTGCGAAGATGATTATTTTGTTATCGAGAATGGCCCTCTGGATATAAATCGTATCCAGGAACGCTTGCCTGAAGGCCGTCGCATTGTCGACTTTTCTCATGTATGGAAAGAACTCCAGAGAGTATTCAATAATCATATGAAAGGAATAGAGTGCCAATTTAAAAATTGGAAACTCATAAAAACTAAAACCGAAAAGTTTAAGACGCATTTTACTTTCAAATGCCAAATGTGCAATACTGAAGCCGAATTCTGGTCAGAACCCAAAGATCCGAAAATATTAAGCATTGATATGGCTGCTGCAATAGAAACTATTACAGTGGGAATTGGCCATGCCCAATTAGAAGAGCTGTGTGCAGCTATGAATATTCAATGTATGTCCGATAAA